AGTGATTATTTGACAGATTTACTTGAACGTCGAGACTGAAAAACGTGTATATCGTAATAAAAAGGCTACCATCATAAGTAGGGTAAGAAAATGTGGACAGGATTTCGCCCAATACAACCAACTAAAGAAACGCAATTTGCGCATTTCAAAACATGTGTAGTATGTGTAACCATTTCGAATGGTTGGAGGAAGCAGATCTGAAGTTCTGCTCATCTAGAAGGTGTTACAATCTGTTCTATTCGCTGTTTACATTTCACTTATACATGTATTTAAAAAATATTCAGTTAACCAGTCAGCCAGTCTCTTACAAGTTTCTTAGCCGCTTGACAAAATACTTAGAACTCTTCAAAGTTGTGAAGTTTAATTTTACCTATCTGACATTTTAAAATGTAGTCAAAAGTAAAGTTACCAATTAAAAACTTTTCATAACCTTCATGTAATGAAAACATCTCTTTGAGGACAATTACAAAGTTATTTTATTTTAAAAAAAAAGAAAAAAAAATTTAACTTCCGTTTTTCAAGAGATTTGGTAAATAGTATCTTGAAACTTGAAGAGACCAAAGAAAATTCCAATTAAGATAGAAACCTGTCTATTCGTCAACACTTGAAGATTTGTTTTCTGTTGGGCCTTTGAAGTCAGTATAAGAAAGTAGTCTTTTCATATCTCGAAAGAATATCAAAAGTACAAATGCGATAATTAGAGCACACGGGAATTGAAAGTCGCAAGACATTACCTTAGGTTGAGCAACATCACAGCAATGTATAGGCAATAATAGACCTCATTCACCAAGGTCGTCTTTCATGTTTGTCATACGCCATTCTTAAAAGTTATTTTATGTTTGTCATACGCCATTTATAAAAGGATTCGTCAGCCATCCGTTTGACCAAGCATACCTTAGTCTCAGAAGCGAGAATTATTGTTAGCTACTAAGCTAAGCCAATCAGTAATAATTTTCACAACTCACTGTCGCAATTTGGGCCTTCAAATCCCTGTGTGTACAGAATAATCCAATTACCAACACTATTAGTGATTAGCTCAGCTACAAAAAACCGGTTTCTGAAACTAAGGTACGATTGTTAAAAAAAATGGCGAATCTGTCCCTTTAAGAGTATTGACATTTAGAAAAAGGCATGGTATAACAGTTTCCATGAAACAACATTTACTCTTTTTACATCAGAAAAAAGTATGCAATTAAAGGTCTTGTTAAATTTCTCAATATATGTGGCATTAAATGTCACAGACGGTTGACGTATAAAATGGCAAGAATAGTTTAGTTGTTTTGTACTAATTGTCTATGTAATTATTGGAAATATAAACAATCATTCTATAAAAAGCTTCTATACGTTTCGCATGATTGGTAAATCTCTTGTTCCTTTCAAAATGATTTATGTTGGTCGATTTAATCGTGGATTCTCCCATTTATAAAAAGAGTCAATAACTAAAGATCAAGAAAACAAAACAGATTCGGAATTCTTCATCCCACGTTTCTATTTGTGATGGGTCATCAAATACGGCGGACAATTCCATGCGGTCTGGAATGCGAAGGATTTTGACAGAGGCAAAATCTACCTATTTTCCCTTTTTTAATAGACAAGGTATCTGTTCAAAGCCCTAAGCACATATGGTCTCTTTTCCCTATGTTTTTGAAACCCAGAATTTGAATTCGAACGTTGCCTACCATTAACCCTGCTGAATACGAAGACATTCGTGTGGAGGAATCTATCTTGAAATAAATTTATAATTGGAAATGGTCGGTTATGTTTGGGGAGTAATTGATGGATTAGCTTCATATTTATAACTTAAGTAGATTATGAAGTTAAACTATAATAGTGATTGCCGCCATTCTCTATTAACAATTATTTGCTGTATTGACTCTGAACATAAGGTATTTGTTGTCACGTAAAATGGTCCAAATAATAACAGGCAATAACATTCCATTCAAACAAGTAAACATGTCATGCATTTATACTTTTGTACTAAGAGGCGATAGACATTCATAAACATCATCTCATTGATTTCATATCGTAACAAGGTTCAATACCCGTAGAGCTGACTGCATCAGCTGAAGAGACTATCGTGCTAAATGTTATTACATTGGGGACAAGTCAGACATGGGCCGCCGAACCACCACTGGCACTTCTTAAGCCTCACTTTCCGATATTTGTTACCCTTGATATTCTAATGCAAAAGTAACTGCGCATCAGGAAAATCATTAAAATCAACTCTCAATCGAAATATTTGGGCAGAGGTGGGTCTCGGTAATTTTCAAGAGGAAACCTTTAGACCTTTCAACTTAGTTTCCTCCATATTAGTGATGTGAGGACTTATGGAAGAACTGAGGAAAGCATCTTTTTGAATCCGTGCGCGTAAGTTTTTTGACCGGTCCCTCCATCATCCGTTGGTTAGGTTCAAGTACAAAATTGCTTTTGTGATACTACTGTGATATTTTCAAAACCTTTCATACTATGATTACATGAAGATTTCACCTTAGTTACCTTTTTTGGAGTTAAACCTTTTGAATATATACATAATGGTGGTATAAGGAAACAGAGATTAAAATAATCATGACGTCTGTTGTTAGTCGAACAGAATGATTAAGCAGATTGTTAACTCTTTAGATCAGTCGATAAGATCAATGCTTTCAAAGACAAACAATTTCTTTTTACCTGAAAAACAAGCTGAAATTGTTTAGAGAAACATTCTCAATTATAATTGTTTATCTTGTAACTTTGGATACTTTTTCAATGATGGAAACATTGTGTCTGTCTAGTTAGAGGGAACGTTGAGAAATTGAATCAGAACAAGATGGTACTATTCTGGTGCAGTCTTCGTTACCTTAAATCACATTTCTCCTTAAGATTGAATCATGAAATGAAATGAAATGAATGGGGCTTTACACCTTATATTTCTGCGCCTGATTGGATTATTGAAGACAATGCCATGTAGTGTGCAATGATAGATTTTTTTCAATTTTTAACTGGCGAGGGATCTTGAGCGTACACAGCCTTTAGTACACGGATACTCGGTTAATTTCCCTTGCGAACGATAAGACTTTTTTTCCATGTCGGACCCTTCAATCGGCATCATTACAAGGGGAAAGAGATTGAATCATGTAAATACCACATGAACAATAGTGGCTAAGGCAACTCTCTGAAAATAGCGAGGAGTTGACAAACCCAGTCATAGATTTATATCTAGTGTTCTAGAAGTGATTTTACTAGCGCCATATCTCACTAGTTCCTTATGTACGCCTTCTAGCATACAACTTATGGAAGTTAAGAGAGAATTTTCGGTGGTGAGAACAAACATGAGAAAATCGTTCATGGAAATGTGGATCAAACAATCAGATGCATTGCGTTTAAAGTATTATTATTTTGTTCTGAGATAACGTTCAAAATTGGTCGTCTGTTAAGTCGTTCTTTAGTAATATCAACGTAGAGCTTGCGTTTTTTGCGGTAATATTAGGAACAACATGTGACAGAAAGTGTTGTATTCTCTTGATGGCAAACAACGACTGAATTATTCACATCTTAATTTCGTTCGGAGCTAATGATCATGTGGTTCTGGTATTTTCTTTGATTGATGGCTCGCCGCGACAGCAGTATTTAAGGCAATGTTTGGGTTTAAAGGAAGTTTAACATAAGTATGAAAATTACATGTTAAAAACACGAGCAGTAAACTAACATGCAACTATCTTCATAGCAATCTATCATTAGAGGTCCACAATCATGTAAATTATTTCAATCAGAAAGGCACCGTGTTAGTCTAATAGCAACGAGATATCAAAATAGAACTGAATGACAGATCGAGGTGTTTGCAAAAAGAGTATGCTCTTTCTGCCTATAATGATGTACCAACCGAGTTAGCATTGACTTCCCTTAAATCCTTTATTTTACAGAAACGAGATTTGACCATATACCATTCACTTTAAAATGATAACCGATTCTTTATCGCTTTTAAACCTTTCTCCATCGACTAGATCACCAAAAATTTACTTATTCGGTTAGTACAACAATAACTCATAGTTTGCATTCTGGCAAGATCACCTCAACAAGAGAACCTCCCTTTGAGAACATCTTTTAACGCCTGTGGACATACTGTTATTTTATTATATATGTATAAAATTCATATACGTAATTATAACCATCTGTAGACAAATAAGATGTTGAAGTACCAAGTACTTTGAGGAATTGGACCTATGGTTATCATCTATAACGGGAAATGTTTGTTGGTATACACTATGATCTGCCAACCTAAATAAATTGGCGAACAGCCTCAATCGATTGGCATGGGGGAGAATAATTTGATTCTAGAGCAGCCTATTGTTTTTAATGTCTTTAACTGCTTCTCATAACAGGATTATTGATGGTTCGTTGTATGCCTAAGCAGCTGAAATTTAGCTCAATTATCTAGCATTATAAACCATGAATGCAGTGAAAGTAATTTCGGTGTTCCAAAAGAGAACATTTAGACGATGAATAATCAAATAAAATTAGGTTATCCGAACGCCAATAAAATTATTAATGTTTTTTAAAAGTGACCATATGTTTAATCGAGCAAATATTTAAATATGAAACTAATCAAACATTACTATAAAAGCATTGATAACATAAATAATTTTAATCGATGTTTTATGTTCTACTGTGATATTTAGATATATTGTATATAATAAATGTACACACCTGGAAACTTGATAAACCTGAACACCTGCTAACATTTTTTAAAGGGATTGATTCGTCCATATTTTAACACCTGTCGACCATTGATGTGTATTTTATGCCAATACAATTGTCGTTTACTTGAGCATTTGTGCCATTTCGGTGTAATAAGTATCCTGCTTGGTTCCCCCAATTTCATAGAAACAATTTTGCATTTCCTGTATTTCATTGTAATGTAATAGAAATATTTTGAATTTCTGTGTATTCCAGGGGAAGAATATGCAGATTATGATTTTACAACGTTAAAACCATTACCAACGTTTGTCGATACCACCCCTACCAATTTTACTTTTAACCAAGGAGAGCTTGCAAGATTAATATGTACTGTGAACAACCTTGGGACGAAAAAGGTAACATTTCATTCATTGGTTTATTTATATGTATTGTATATTGTATGTATGTGATAAAGTTGTGCAAATTTGGCTTTCTGAACGACAAAGGCATCAAGCTTTCTTTGGTTAAAATTAAGTGACTGTCTTTTTAACCATGCACGTCAGCATACAGCTGTAAGCATATACCACTGCTCATAGCTGCACATCTGGTGGACATTCATTAAAGGTACAGCGCACTGTTGAAATTTGAGCCTTCAAATCCATGTGTGTCCAGAATTATCCGCGTTTGAAAGTTAAAAAGATGAGTCGTCTTTTCTGGAGACACTGCCATATATAGAAAAAGGGAAAGAAATTTCCAGTTCGAGATGTTTTTGAAGGAATTATGTGATTTCTGTACATTTATAGTACTTCGGAAGACTATTTACGTATAATCAAGAGTCAAATTACCCCCCCCCCCCCTTCCTTCTCCCAATGGAGTACTTGTCCCTTTAAGCGTCGTTTTTAGTCATTATCATGTCACTTTCGGTAATATTATTACTAATAAATCATACCGGTGAATTTCGCATTCAAAATCATTAAAATTTGAAATTTTTGAGTGGAGCATCACACCAAGCTTACTGTGCAAAATTGAAACATGTTTCTAGATAGTGCAAACAATTCAGTAATTATTCAATTACCCATCGATTTTTTACTCAAATATCTGGTGGCCAATATCAATATTTCTGTTAATGCATTAGGTTCAACAATAGCATAGACAGATATCGTCAGTTTCTAGACAAATAAATTCATTATTGACTTGACCACGTTCTCATTTTCCTCGTATCCAAGACGAGAACCTTATGGTTAATAAGAAATATAATAAAATGAAATGAAATAAAGTATTATACGACCCAATGTATGCCCCTGATAAGACTAATGAATATACATCTATCATGCAGTGTACAATGAGGAATTTGCAGGACCCTACTATTTTCGAATTTCATCTGTCGACTTTACAGCAAACTGAACTTTTTGGTCTTATCCGAACCACCATACCCGTTTGTCATGCCAGGCCCTTTGATCTGTGTCACTGACAGAGGCAAATACATTGAGAAATCCAAAGGCACTTCCGCTAGCTGAATGTCTTTTGCAATGATACTTTCATCGATTCATTTAAGATATGGTGTGGATGAATAGTGACATTTGTTTATAATTTATGCATGCTCTTCTATTAAGTTCTTTTGTAGTGATCATTCAAGCTTCTAAACCGCTAAATGAATTAAAAAATCAACAACATTTGACATATTGATGCTGCTCCCTGTTGTAAAGACACTGCAGGAATTGTCAAGTTAGATAATTAAACTCACAGATGTTCTCTATATGCCTCAGTAACTTTAGTTTTTAACCAATATTTTTCTCCTCGCAACAATATAAATGTTTATTGACAAAAAACGACAGTCCATTAAACTCGTCACTTCTGGCAATTAGAAGTAAAAAGTAAATTTGAGGCAATGACAAATAAAATCTGTTATTGCTTTTATCGGTAGTTAATTGGTTAAACAGAAATAAAAATGTTTTCTATATTTACATTTTGCTATAGTGTTTCAGTTTTATTGCTTCTTCTTTAATGATGGTTTATTGCATTGGTAAAGTGAAACTTTTCTATAGATGCATTGCTATGAAATCACCAATGAAAGACCCCAGGCTATATGACTCGTTTTTGTATAAATGCATCAATACATGGTAATTATGTAAATATTTTATGAATGACATCATCTATTCTTTAAGTTCACATTCCAATATTCTCGTGACAAAGGGGAGACTGCAAGGAATTATATGGGTATATTGAATGTTGGAATGGAAGCTAATGAAGTAATGGTTTATGTCTCTAAATCGACAAGCAGAAAATATATTACAAAAACACACACATTTTCGGTAATCTTGAGGGTAACTGTTCGCAAATCGAAATGGTGCCTACATACGTCAACTCGTCAACCCTTTCATCGGTGTGGCGCGGAATATGCATATAATTGTTATGAAGTAACAAGCCTAATCCCCGTGTGCCACAGAGTGTTCATTTATGATTTTTTGAGTTGAGTCTGAAAGCATTGTCTTGTATAATATCTTCATTGCATGGTCTGACTTGACCCGCCTTTTCGCAATGAAATTGAATGTCGAAAATCTCTTCATGATTACACAATATTGCAACAGCTATTTATTTGTTTTATTATTCCCATATTAAGTTAGCATCCTAAGTATCGCTACTAAAAGCTTGCCAGATAGCTTCATTAAAATGTTAAAATGAATATAAACTGCTGACCTTTCCCTACAATAAAATGGAAATTGACGTCTAATTGAGCAGAAAGGCAGAATTATCTTGTGGTCTTTCCGCAATTGTCTTACTCCCTAGTGTATATGGAATTTAATCTTTTCATGTAATGTACATTGCTGATTTTGACACATTCACAGATAAGATTGTCGATTGATGCAAAGAAAAGTGGACTGTCGTATCGTGCGCTGGACGACTTCGGGACTGACTGAATCTGAGAGCAACGAAATTTTCAACGAACAAAGGTATCCTGGTGAATTTAGTCAATCGCATGCTTGCAACTCTTAACCACACGCCAACTCTTAACCGACGGTATTTTTACAAACCCTGCAGATGGGCAGTAGGGGTGACAAACAATTTGGCTGACAAAGTTTGAAAAACCTTCATGTTCTATCTGAATGAAATTTCCCTTTAAAATGGTAACTACAATTTAATGATATAGACAGGGCGGGAAAGTCTCTACATAGAAAAAAAATATATTGAACAGATTGTTTGTGATTAGGTTTATCTTGGTTAAATATTATGTCAGACAGACTTCAACAATTCTCCCCTAACTTATTAGTTTGTTCACTAACGATAAATCAAACATGTGCTTTCTCTTTATTATTTCTGTCATTGGGATTTTTATTGAAACTATTGATGAATCGAACGGAAAGAAGGAATAAAAGTGAAAAGTGACTGTCTAGGTCTAGACCTCCAGATTAAGACGTCACAGATAAGTTGCCTTCTTACGTGGATTGAATTTTTCTGCCGATTTTCTCGACTCCGTTGCTTCCTTTTATGGTAATTCGATTGTAAACCAGCTGGAAATTGACAGCGTTCGGAAAGAACTGTGGAGACATAAGACGTATGTTCTAATCTTGTTGTATCCAGGATTTCTGGTCAATTTGGGAAGAATTACTTTCTCGATTCAACTAGCATTTCTTTTAAAAATCCACTCTTTGTGAAATTTCTTACAGTTAATTTAAGTAAAATTATACAATGCATATCAATGAAGCGAGTTCTGAACTTGAATGGCTGTAAATTCCATGGCGTCGATATTGTCCAGAATTTCATTAAAAATATAGACCAAAAAGTTCCAAGATTATAAGTGACTTGTTGTTAAGTAAGTTTGTCTGATATGTGACAAGTTAATAGATTTCGTGATCTTATTACTAACCTATACAACTGGAAACTATCAGCATTACGCCTTGAGACCAGTACAGTTTCCAAATCACTCCGATTTAGATTCTACGATAATAGTGTTAAACATGGAGGTCTACAGTCTGTCTGACATTAAATCGTTTTCTTTTTTCCACTTCCACATTTAAACATCTTTTTAGAAGATTATTGGTTGGAGTCAGTATATATAAAGTAATACATTGAGCCGCTGTCTAGCATTATACATGATACATGGTGGTAAGGGTTGTTGAACTCCTGTGAAATTTATGTTAAAAACGAACTAGTATACAACTTTTCGTACTTTTGTTTTTTGCTGATTATTTTTTATGTAAATAGAAATACCAGCTTCAAAATAGAATGAATATTCATAGAACGAATTTTCTATTTGAAATGTATCATAAATTGTTTACAAATTTTACCACAGATAGTGCAAAAAACAAAATCTGAACTCCAATGCATTCTTTATTATTGTCGAAAAGATAAATATATGAATGATATTGATTTGATAATGATTATGTTAATTAGAGTATTAGTATCCTGTATAATGTCGTGATTATATCCAACCTTGTACTTTTACACTTCTCCATACTGGTATTTCTTGTCCTTAGGCAGAATCAAGGGCCACTGAAAGCTTTATAGTGTAGAGGCTACGATTATCATATAAAAATGTTTCAGAATCCTCTCAGGTACCCCTAAGGTACAAGTGCTCCTATATGAAAATAGAGGTTCTAAAATATGTTATCTGTCATCTAAAAAATTACTGAAGCACAAAACTGTTAGAATATTGGCACACGTTCTTATTTTACTTATATATTGCATATTCCAGGTCATATGGAGGAGAGCATCTGAATTTAACCCTCTAACTATTGGAACAAAGACATTTGTTGGTAATTATAGAATACATGTGGAACACACACCATTAGGAAACGACTGGAATTTATTAATTAAAAAAGTTCAGATAGACGATGCAGGAAAATATGAATGTCAGATCAGCGCTAAGCAGCGGAATTTGAGAAGATTTGTGACTTTAACAGTGTTAGGTAAGTGGGTGTCAGGGAAGAGTTTTCAGTACTTTCCTGTTATCTGAATACGGTACCCGCCATGTATAGTATGATGTACGGTGTGGGATCTTCGAACCGTCTTAAAGTAATGAATTCAAAGAAAGAGGACACGAATACAAGTTCACATATGGGAAACCGATGAACGTTTTCTTTTTCTATTTGTCGTTTAAAACTAAAATCCATACAGTAAACTCAATTGCAATTGGTTAAATCTTTCTTTGCCTGTTCTGTTTACAAGACATGGCCATTCTGCAACGTATCGTAACATTAATTATTCATGTATATATTTTATAATTATTATGTTATTATGCTAAGCTATGCCGTTCGTTTGTTTACTGTGTTCATTTCTCCATTGACAACACATTCGCTATGTTCTACACTATGAATAATGTGTAGGTACACGTACTTTCAGGTGAATACAAACCTTCGTGGTCAGATCCTGTCACACCACACCGACCAGGTTGGTATTATCTAGTACTTCATCAATAATAACCCCATATATTGCTTCTATAACAGACTTCTTTACATTGGTCATATATATGTCTTCGGATTTGTACCATTTTCTAGTGGCATGCTAGTCTTTTTACATTTCAAATGTTATTTTTGCATTTCCTACGCTTTCGATTTATATATAGAACAAACTGTTCATAATAAAATCATTTTCAGCATGCATTAAAACCGACATTTTTAAAGTTGACATTAACAATGTTATTTAGAATAAAGTACAAAGCAGATGTGACGTGTGTGTACAAAAAATAATTGTCAATGTCTCTTAATTAATTCTTCGTCTTTAATACTCGTAAGAATTTATTTAATAAAACTATTTTATGCTTGGATATTTCCTGAAAATAAGCTCTTACTGGATATTTTAAGTTACAGTTTAAAGATATATAAAAATAATCATCGAAACTTTGAAGGAAGGCGTTTTGACAGTCATTGAGACAAAAGTCCGATTTGTTTTCAGACAAGAAAAAACTGAAGTCAAGTAATAACACACTTTTTGAAGATACTAACAAGCTTTTTTATGGTAATTCTAAATAATGCATGTTTAATTTGTTAATACTAGTCTGCTTGTTAGTATAAATTTACACGGTTTAGTTGTTAATACACGTCTGCTTGTTAGTCTACATCTGCATGCTTTAGTTGTTAATACAATATGTCTGCTTGCTAACCATAATCTGCTTATTTTACTTGTTAATACAAATCTGCTTGTTAATCTTAATCTGTATATTTTAGTTTTTTTTATACCAGTCTGTTTGTTAGTCTGCACGCTTTAGGTGTTAATACAAGTCTGCTTCTACCTTAATCAACAATGTTTTGGTTGTTAATGATAGTTTGCTCCTCAACCTTAACTAATTCTGTACAATCTGTTAGGCTATATGTGTATTATGTGTTACTAACAGACTGTATGTTAGTCTTTAACTGCATGTTTTACTTGTTAATACTATTCTACTTGTCTGTCTTAATCTGCACGAATTTCTTAACAGAAAGTCTTCTTGTTAATCTGCCTGATTTTACTTGTTAATGTAAGTCTGCATTTCATTCTTAATCTACGTGTTTTATTTGTTAACACAAGTTCACATGCTGATCTAAATATGCATATTCTATTATTTAATAGTAATTTACTCGATCGTCTAAATTTGTATAACCTTGATCTGTGTTAAGTTAGTAACAGTCCGGGTGTGTCTAGACGCTAATCGTACAATAGAACCCAGACAATGCAACAGTGAACTAAATTTAAATTGTTTTGTCTTGTAGTGTTTAGTACTGTCTACTATATGTGTTTTGGCCTTGGCTTGTCTTATAAACTCAAAACACTGCAATGAAAAAGCTGAAAATTAAAGATTACATTTGTGAATGCGGTTTTAGAACTTGATTTCCACCTGTGCCCTACTTCATGAAAATAACTGTATCAGCCTAATTGTTGAAGTTAATTCAAATCTAAAGCTATTTGTTTTTGTGCAGTTAGATTACTGTATTGTGAGTGTCGGCAACAGCTGATAGCATGAAATTACCACTGGGTGCAACATACCATTCACTTACATCCGAATTACATGTTTCGTTTTGTATTCTTTATTGTATGTAGTTTGTCATCACCATTAAAATTGCAACAACCGTAACCTAGTTTTATACGGACATATGCCTATGTTTCTGTTTTATCATCATGAGATATTGTCGAGCAATGAGGTTTGTGCACATCCGAGGACGATTCAAAACATTAATACGGTGAATAGATAGCTCGTTTTTAAATGTACGTGACATAATCCAGACTTACTTTATGAATCTTTGTCTGATGTGCTGATATACATCAGGAATAAATATTTCGTGAAATAATCTGATCATTCGAGATAGTTATCCAGATTTTAGTCAAACACAAATGCATGTCCATTACTTCTTTAGGGGAACAGCAGGTGATTTGAAACAATTTGGTTAGTCACAGATATCTGGCTTTGTTGATTTGTTAATGACTTTCTAAATATAGCTTCTGATTCAACGAGCAAATCGTTGGCAGTTGTTTTTCATATCTAGACATTGGGCGACAAGCCGCCATTTAAATCTTAAATGTCTTTTTTTATTTGGACAACTCCGCTATTCATACAAGAATTGTTCTAGACTAAATCTACATGTTCCAACATTAATGCCGAATTCGCTGTCCATGCTAAAACCATGTCTATGCTGTATTACAGGTTAAACTAACTTGATACCCCAATGATGTGTTGCTCTAACTTTTATATCATTATAGATATTCGGATAACGGGTCCAAGTTATGTTGAAAAGGGAAGTAGGATAGTTTTAGTGTGTAATGCTACAGGAGATGAACATCCACCAGATGACTTAGATTGGTTTAAAGACGGTGATAAAGTGACTACAGATCACAGTAAAGGCATATCAATACGTAAACAAGTGTCTCTGGAATATAAAACAATCGCCAGTGTATTACAGATAGAAAAAGCCAGACTAAAGAATACTGGTGTTTACATATGCCGTACTTCCGACTTGCAAATAACTCGGAAAATTGTTGATATTTTAAATTGTAAGTATAAAATCCCCAAAGAGACACAGATGGCGATTTTCAGGTCAAATCAGAATGTAAGTGTCCAGATGTCCTATGTTTCAATCCATTAGACGCACTATGTGCATTTATGTGCTTGTATCTTTGACAGAAATGCTCTGGATGTGTTTATCCCTGATACGTTCTAGCTGGTTCTATTTTGAAAAAAGCTGGACCACACTTGCAGTAGTCACTCTGTGATCTGTGATCAATATTTAAACAAATACCAAATCAGCCCAAGATTAGCTTTGAATACTGGTTATAAACATGCATTAATGAACAATACGAATACGAAGAAAGCTATAAAATTTCTATCTTTTCTTTTCAGCTGATACATATAACGTGAAGAGGGGCACATTAAAAGATAAAGACAAACACACAAATACCATTTCACATGGTATATTTTCAGGGAAAGCCTACAAAACACACAAAAACAGTGCTGTTAATAATTATTGTGTGATATCGCAAGTTTTCTTCATTGTCTTTTTACAAACAGTGTATAAAGTGCTGCAATGTTTACAAACTTGACGTGGTTGCGTGTAAATATAAAAATTTTGGTTATTGTTGTGCACTGTGATTAGTGACATCATCAGTTCTTGCCGTTAACGTCATGGATCTTCCGGAAGTAAGTTTGTGCCTATCGTTGCGTATGATGGAAAAAAGGTTGGGCGGAGAATGTAGTGCCATGAAAACTACTGTTAACGACAATTACATTTAAAATTATAGTAATCGACACACAAGTCAGTTTTAGTGCCGAATAAGTTTTCTTGATCACGCTTACTTCAGAAAACTAGGATGTCCTAAGGCAGTGGTCACAGTTGTGATGGAAATGCAAAACGGGTATGGCATGTGACAAGACACGGATGCTACATGCTTGTACGATAAAGGATGGCATTAGTGACTAATGAACATTACCTAAGCCTATTATTTTGTTTTACATTTAGGACACGGGGATCCTTTATACTAAGGGTTAGGGACCTTACAAATATAGCATGTGAGTACCTTTTTCACCACAAACATTGTATAAATGCCATAGAAAATGGAGAAGCCATAAGTAAAAGTTTACACTACACAACTTTTTGACAGGCTTCCCACAATTTGTTATGTACACAACGTTTCAACATTTTACGTTCTAATCGATTAATAAAAATAAGTACAGCAAAACAGTTATGAAGAAAGGGACAACGTTATGTAAAAAATTCACTTATAATTATTATAAATTCTTATTATGAACATTTGTGTTATTTTATTTCTTAATTTTTTTTTTGGTTAATATTACACATTTCATCTGAAGTCAAATAGAAGTATTATGCTTTCAGATTTCCCTGCAATATTCAACACTTTCCGGGGGCTAAACAATTTCAATTTATATATTTTGTTTGTATATTCGATAATGTTTTCTTTAGACTAGGTGGCCAACTTTTTACAAATAATCCAATATACTAATGAAGATGGATAAGGTCTTGCAATGCCAGAACAAAGGCATTAGCCCAGTCATCTTTGATTTACAACTGTCGAGGAATCTTTAAATCGTACAGCACAAGAGGCTTCGGGTGATCCCATCCTTACGATTAAATGCCTTTTCCTGTCAGCTCCTGCACCACACTCTCAATGAAATCCAATACATAACGTTGATCAAATACTTTAGAGATTGTCTAAGGAGTCATAACGTGAAAGCTACCAATTTAAAGAAAAATGTAATTAAAATGATTCTTTGTTCTTTCCGCTTTTAAACATGTTCTTTTCTACTTGTCTAAGAGTATTTATTTTAAGGCACGTTATATAAATTGTTCATTGAAAATAAATGATCTGCTGCAAATATATTATGTTACAATTTCAACTGCATTGTGTCTGGATGTTGAAACTAAACCATCAATCTTCCAACAAGGAATGGTTTTAGATCTTTTCTGCAATCTGAAAAAAATGTCATTGACTGCGTTAGGCGATATTATAGTAGCCAGGAAAACCAGTAAAATCCAAGTTTATTGAGTTCATTCTTACCTATGTCTAAAATGCCGAGATAATGTACAAATCTGAATTAAATAAAGCAAAACCCAACCTCTAGTCTTTTTCGCAAGAATTCAAATTATGTAGTCTGTAGTATTATCTGAATGCCCACAAAACCCTTCAATATGTATCCTGAATTGGCTTTAAGTAATGTTTTTCTTTGATATTTTGTATACATTTCCGTCATTTCCTGGTGTGTTAGTTACTAGTTCACGATTTCGGCGAAATCGGTACGAGTTTGCAGTTTAATTATATTTCTATTATTTGCGTCAAATGTTCCTTTTAAGTCTTTTCGCACATGAATAGCCAGTTAAATCAATATCGGGTGTCGCAAGCTAGTCAATCAGAACACCCGATGCCCCACTGCGACTGGATCTTTCAGCGAGTCCAGATAGCTGTTGGATTGTATAACAAAAAAGGTGAATATAAGAATTTGTGCAAATGTTATTTTAATGATGAACTTCATTGTAGACTTTCAAAGATAAGTAAGAACGAAAGAATGTTATGATGTTAGTATATTTTTGTTATATTTCCATCTAAAAAATTTTACGATCGTAACAAGAACGATTTAGAAGACATAAACGATCTCTAGTGACATTTGGAGATGCAATGAAAGATTGGTATTTTAAACACCTACACAGTCAATGATACCACGCGGAATTCTACCAAATTTGTTTTTCTGCATAAACAACCGTGGTAATCGAAATAAAACATTTACTGTTCTGAAATCAGTCAAATACTTTTTTAGTCAAATAGCTTAGCTGACTGATAGAATCTGATAGCAACTGGATTTTCAGCGATAGCTTAACTAGGAGAATCCGATCATTCAACGTATTCATTTGTTCTGGTCGCACTGAGCAGAGAAAACTTGTAGTTGCAACCAGTTGCACACAAAAGTTCAATCTTGATGTCGATCAATGACCATTCAGTTGAGCACTTGAGTTAGTAGTCGGCCCATTTCTTGCAACAGATATGATGAGCTGCGGGGAATGGCCAGTCTACCTGGGTGGTTGATATTATATTGTAGCTGATGACTGAATTATAGGATTATTTAGCAATGATACCTATCATACTTGAAAATCGTCCGCAAAATTAAATGGTTTAACAGTTCTTTGCATAGTTTGAAGATATTACACGGAGACTGGGGATTTTTAAATCTCTGAAGAGTCTGAAGATTTAATAAGATTAACCATCAGGTTAAACAAGTTTCCACATAGCGACTCCAGGGATTTAACATTGAATCTAATTCTATATTATATTACTTTAAAGTGTACATTGAGGGTAGTTGTAAATCGTGCACTGAAAACGAGGAAGTAACTTGTAGGTTATATATCCAAATTAACTTCATTACGAATCTTCTACCTATTGATATGCACTATAGATTCATTTTGGGAAGTTTCATAGAATGAGAACTGGGTGAACTTGAAAAACATTAAGAAACATACACCATTAGACAATCGTAGAACCAGAATTTTTAGGACTTCATTACGAATCTTCTACTTATTGACTTGCACTATATATTCATTGTAGAAAGTCTAAGACGGGTTCATTGGTAATAATTATTAAAATCTGGTTGGACTAGGAGACCTATGGGAATTTATAGTAAGTTGCATTGAAAGAAATTTTATTTCCATCGAAAGTTAGTACACAATCTTATTTACCAATGTTTCTGTCGACCTGCTTCCTTTGTCATTTTTATGCCATAAATGAAATAGAGATTATATTCTAAGTTACCTCACTGGATTAGATAGAATTTCTCAAAATTGTCCGCAACATGTTATATTTTTACTCAAATTGTCTTCATAAACACTAGGGTCATTCTTTAGAGTTGGGAGAATTCCAAAACTTGAAAAATGCAAGATATCATAGGACTTTATTGACCAATGAAATGGACTGAAATAAAGGATAAAATATTACTTTTCTGCAGTGAGTGAAACCATGACACATAGGCACAAGTAGATTAGGCCTACGTCTTTTCAATAGTAAATTGCCAATACATACGGGCTCCTTGTTTCTGGAAAAGTCTAAGGGTGCTAATTATTGGAATTGTCATTGCCTTCTTGTGAAAAAACACAACCAGACTAGTGAATTTAAAAATTAAACCTAGACCTCTCCAAGTTGAAATAACATCTAATATGTAGAATGGAATAATTGAAATGTAGGAAGAAATTGACGAGGTCATCAGACGCAAATCAATCAAAAAGCTTTAAATAACTGATCACCGAGTAGTAATTAAAAAATAAGTTCAGACACTCTGTGTTGGTCAGGGAATTCTGTGTGTTCGGTTCGATATTTCGCTTAAAAACAGATGAAAAAGCAGGTTTAATATTTTCTACAGATGATGCAATGATCTGAAATTGTATTAACTTATCAGCAAGCACTAGCTAATTGAAAGTAATAAATTTTAACACTGCTAGTCTGTGACTATCCATGTTCGTTACCCATCGATGAAATTGGAACATGGACACACCGGACTGCGATCTCTCACAGCGACATGAAATGTACAAGTTGTGGTAAATCGTGGAGAAAAAGTCACTACAAACTTAAAAACAGCCGACCTCTAAACGCAAGTCATGAGACCATATAGCATTCTAAAGTTTTAAAAGTGTTAATGCCATATAACAATACTTTGTCTGACAACCTCCTCGATCCTTTGGCGCTTTCAACGCGCTGCAGAACAATGTCATGTCTGGCGTGTCCTACACGCTTTTACTACGCTTATGGCGACCTTAACATACTATGAGCTACTTTTCCATCACAATAGCGGCGCAGTAAGAACGTCTTTCTAGTGTGGCGGGGCCTATCGGCATCTAATCTTCGATGTGGAATTAAATCCAATAATTTTATTTCACCTTTCAAGGGAGATAACCAATATAATGGCATTCTCTTTATTCTTAAGAAAGAAACAACCATTTTATAAAAGGTTAACAACTTCAGTTGATTAGGATCCCGTCTACTAGTCAGCTAGTCCATCGCCAAACCTCTTAACATTGACCTTTTTCCGAATCATCCGTATCAATTTTAAGCTGGTTCGCCTCGAAACATAAGGAAGGATTACTTATTCAAGGTCACCAGACTTGCACACACCGACCTATATTAGATCCAACAAAAAGGTGAGGTGTGTATGCAATAATTTTGGACAGTGTCAAAAACACATTTCTAAACCTGCCTCGAGAGGCTGTCAGCTAAGCAACATTATCATTACTTTCTTGAGGCAGGCAGCTCAGTTAGTTCCTCTCGTCTGCGACAGGCTTAACATGTTATGTTGCCTTATAGAACTAAATAGCATACATGTTTTCCTTCAACTTACGTACAAATATCGCTAGATCATTTCCATGAGCATGATTTTAGTGTGGAATTGAAACACTAAAAGTTTTTCTGAAATGCAATTAGAGGAAAAAAGATTTATATTGAGCTCTGACTAATAAAAAGTCTGGACCTCATTCACATGCCAATTATGAGGCATTCTCGTAGGATTTTTTATCTGTATTCATTAAATTTTACCATATCCATTTAAGTGAAATGTCATCTTAAATATTTATTTGAACGTTGTTTTTCTAGATATGAAAGGTTACAATTTACAACGTCTGCTATTTTAGTCGGAAACATGCTAATATTTACCACAGATTGATGAATGTCGACGGTTATCGGTTGACGGATTGCATTTATTTCCATCATAAATGATCCAAAGTGGTTATTGCACTCATTCCGTGACTACTTCCTTGATTTTGACTTATGGATTGCAATCTGACCTTGTGATCATATCTAATAAATCTTATTTATAATGTACTTGAGGCCTATAATTCTTTAGTCTGCATACATGTGACATTTATCATTTTGTTTGAATTACGTTAATTTTGTATGTCAATTCATAACTGTTACGTGTCGAAAATTGATTTCGTTTACTACTTACTGTTTAAAGCAGACGAAAAAGAAACTAAAATCTGGTTTTGATTATTTTATTCACTGAAAATAGAGCAATAACAAATTGTAACAATATCAATAACAAATAAAAAATAACAAAGACTAATCATAACAAAGAAACAGAAATAAAAAGTATAATCATCCACAAATTTGCAAGATGTCCGGGCGTGCCTGAATGGAAATCATCCATATGTCTTCGTCGGTTAGGAACATTGGAAGGATACACGAAATATCGTTGGTGCTTCGGTCTGGATTTATAACAGTCGGTTTGAGATATGGGAATGCAATGGAATAAGCCATCATAACAGCGGCATATATTACAATCTGATTCCATCCAGGCACCGTGCATAATTCTACCACAAGATCTATTTTGCGACAGATGCTGACAAAATGTACCATAAAAATCACTTGGACACTGACAGAAACTTCTGAGTAATAATTTTCCACCGTTTTTACATTCAATGTCTGCATATTCCGTCACATCGGCTTCAATTCTGTATAACTCTTCCAGAGGTAAATCAGTTAAGTCTGAAATAGTGCCCAAGCTACCAAGATGGCCGACGTCTCCAACCGAGTTCTCGGTGTCATCGTTTTCAGGAAATAATGGAATCGCATTATAAGTACCATGATGTTTTGCCTTAGCTGACTCTACAGAACTTCTAAACCATCTTGGAGGCTCGTGCTTAGTACAAGATACTGTTACAGCTGAAGCTAAGATGACAAATACAATTCTTCTACTATTGATAGGCATATTGAAAATAATTGGTTGTTGTGGTATAGATTGTGGAAATGATATGATCTTACAAATATGTGGCTCATATTTATATATCAAAATGAGGATTGGCATAAGAATGCTCAGTCGTGACATAATTGAGTCAATTGGCATGACTTGAAATGTGTCAAGTCGAGTCAAATATGACATTCTAATATAATTAAGTTGCTTGATCTCGTATTAATTAATTAATTACTTAATTAATCAAAATATTACTAATTAGGATTAAAATAAATCTTTCACCCTTTGGAAAATTTATCTGTAATTTTTAATTTAAACTCTATTATGTTCATTATTTATGTCATGTACTAATTTTGAAAATTGTATATTATTAAAAATTTATCTTATTTATCTATATTGTACAAATTACATCTATTGTAATGTATTCATATACCATATGGTTTCTGAATAAGATTTACTTACTGACTTGCCTTCTGAATTGTTTACAATCTCCTTATCAAGGTAGTTTGGTCGTGGATTCGTCCAATAAACCCAGAAAAATCATAAAGTTCTAATTTTCGGTACAGAAAACGGCCTCTATGAAGACTGTAACCCTTAAAGTATTGCGTTGTTTTAATATCAAAAGTATAATTTATGGTTAGTATCATTGAAGGTTTATTTTAAATCTTACTCTTGCAGCCGTTTGGCACCAATGAAATCTTCCATAAATCTTTTACGTTTTGGAATCTCGATTTTGCCTTTTCTCATTATAATGCTCATATTATTATTTGTGGTTTTATCACACCAAAGACAAAATCGCTATACGACTGAATGTAACGGAACAAAACTTCCGCTTGATATTTTTTTATGTGCCTTTATTATGTTATTGCGAATTGGCTCATTAATCTGTACATACGTTCTACACATGCTCGACGCTGGATATGATTATTGTAAGCAGGGCTGAAATGACGCGGAATATTTTTATACCATTAATTTGGTTTATCGTGTCTGAAGCTATCTAAAAAACGTTATCATGTAAGGGACAAGAGACACAAGTACAAACGCTTGAATTATCACAAGTATAGAAAGTAATATACCAAAGTACTCCCCTTCAAAGAACTTCATTCTCAATTGTAAACGTTATGAGTTATTGCCTGTTGTAAACAAATATCTAGCTTGACTTTACGAAACGAATACGACTTCAGAACTAAAAATGCTTCACGTAAAAAAAAACTTAAGCTACAGATTACGTCCGAAGTTGGACCAGACCTCTATACACGGTTGATTCATCTACATTATTAACTGAATTTGGAGTAGAAAAGTAAGATATGATAACTTCACCTGAAATAAATCCATTATGATATGATTTTAGTTTTCATTTTGACATTTCCTATAATGGATCTGACATGGGTCAACTATCAAAGTAAGATAATATACCTGAAGCCAGTTATAAACATAATGGGTTTTGTCAGGAAAGTTTTGTGTAGAAGATATGCCCTAGGTTATGATCACCTAAGCTGAATGATGTTTAAAGACTCAAACTATGACAGAAACCATTTGTCACCATATATTTCATATAGTTGTTCATCTGATATCTGGAGCAACTTATTGATCAGAAATAATAATACTCTATCATACTCTATGTTAGTCCTTTAGCAGCATCGTAAAAATGTTGATTGGAGAAATGGGGTCGTTAACCAATTTCAACCTCCTTTTGTGTAACCATGCCAAATGTTACACAATTGGAAACTTTTGACAACCCCATCTTGAGGTAATCTCAGGTTAACAGATTAAATGATTCACAGAATTTCATTTGTAAATGAATGTAAACAATGTAAAACTCGGTTAAAGTATCTTCTCATTCGGAGTTTGCAATAACACACTAAAGATTAACCTATTTCCAAGAATTAAACGCTATGAAGGAAAACAACCGATTTAATCTACATCCTAGGTTCCAGAACAGAAGTCAATCAAATTTTACAAGGTGATAAAACAGTCTAACCAAACCATGTTACGGCCATTTAATGTAACTGTTGAAAACTAGTCCAATAAAGTAAGTTTGCCTCTATAGATTTACGGTCGTTTTGTTAACTCAAGTGAAAAATGATAATATGGAAACACACCATAAAGTATATCTGTCCATACAAGTAAATTTTCTTACGAGTACCAATAAAATACCAGATGATGCTAGAACTCAATATTGTTTATTGTGTTTGGAAAGGGATACATTTTCAGATTTTATTGCTTTTGTTTATTGTTAATCTCGCTTAAAATTAAGAATTAATGGAGTCACAAAAAGAATAGTTAACAGCCCATAGAGTTGCTGAAAATTGCTAATTAGATGAACTGGAATGCCTAGCCTATATTTCACTCAGACAAAAATCTCTAGAAGGATCAATTATTGACAGATTTTGACGAAACTTGGTATGAATGTTTGTTATCACCCAAGGATGATCCCCATTGAAAATCAGAAAAATATTTAGTATGAGTTATTGTTTCTATTCACTGAAGGTTGAATATTGCATACTGGTAATTGTTACTGTACTACCAAATATTTCTATTTAAAATCAAAGATGACAGTGGGCGTATATTATCTTGCTTGGCAAGCTATCTTGTTTCTTCTACAATATATTGATTTCTTGGCACATATATTACATAATTTAAAATAATGAGATGCACATCTTGAAGGGGACAAAATAATATAAACATAAGCAAATCTTAAAATTAAAATGAGGCAATGTTTCTGGCTCCTCAAAGCATACTGGGCATGTATTGCTCTCTATTTTACCTATCTTTGTATACTTAAAATAATGAAAAAAGCGTGTTTGACTTAGCAAAAAAGAAATTTTAAAAAAAGCTTCGACAGGAAGTCGAACCCGGTATCTCAAAGCTGCAACGCAAGTGCGCATTTTTTTTTATCTTGTAAATATTTATTAAACATAAATAGTATACAATAAAATATATTTTCATATAATAGGATATATGAAATGTTAATATCACAGATTTCATATGAATAAAATCATAATATAAATGAATATCACAGAAATAGACTCCATAATGGAGTTAAACAATTAAAATATGAGAATAATTTATATAATACTTGTTTAATATACGAGAATAGAATTACATTGTTATTCAATACAGTGTAACTCAATTATGATACAAATAAAGATATAATACAATATATTGTAACTCTTCAGGTTGTATAAACAATAAAGCAGTATAGACTAGATGACGTAGTTTTGAAAAAAGACTTATAATGATTGAATAGCAAAATAGAAAAAAAAACTGAATAATAGAGGTTAAAACCACTGGGCCACCGAGACCTTGTGTTAAAGAAAAATATGAAAAATCAATTAGGGTTAGCTCAGGAAGGGCTTTAAGCTGGTTCCAAACTAAAGTTTCCGCATATCAAATGAAAGTGCACTTCGTTGCGCATCTTCTCAACACAAAATGGTCCGGAAAAAAGCATAACACAGGGGTTTAAATGGGCCCGAAGCAAGTTATACCCCAGTGGTTCCAAGGGGTTAATGTGTCTGATTTGGTTTTAGCTAGTTTTCAGCCATTCTAGAGTTCACAGACCTCTTTTGTATACTTACAATGATACAGCAGACGGTGTTCGACTTAGCAAAAAAAAAAAAAATTTTAAAAGGTTTCGATAGGGACTCGAACCTGGGACCTCAAAGTTGCCGGTCAAGTGCGCAAACCACCGGGCTATCGAGACCTGAGGTTAGTGAGGGTTAACCCTAGGGTTAAGGCTGGGCTAACCCTAGTTTTGAAAAACCAATTAGGGTTAGCTCAGGAAAGGGTTAAAGCTTGTTCCCAGCTATGGTTTCCGCATATGAAATGAAAGAGCACTTCGTTGCGCATCTTCTCAACACAAAATGGTCTGGAAAAAAGCATAACACAGGGGTTTAAATGGGCCCGAAACAAGTTATACCCCAGTGGTTCCGAAGGGGTTAATGTGTCCGATTTGGTTTCAGCTAGTTTTCAGCCATTCTAGAGTTCACAGACCTCTTTTGTATACTTGCAATGATACAGCAGACGGTGTTCGACTTAGCAAAAAATTTTTTTTTAAAAAGCTTCGATAGGGACTCGAACCTGGGACCTCAAAGTTGCCGGGCAAGTGCGCGAACCACCGGGCTATCGAGACCTAGGGTTAGCGAGGTTTAACCCTAGGGTTAAGGCATGGTTAACCCTAGTTTTGAAAAACCAATTAGGGTTAGCTCAGGAAAGGGTTAAAGCTTGTTCCCAGCTATGGTTTCCGCATATGAAATGAAAGAGCACTTCGTTGCGCATCTGCTCAACACAAAATGGTCTGGAAAAAAGCATAACACAGGGGTTTAAATGGGCCCGAAGCAAGTTATACCCCAGTGGCTCCAAGGGGTTAATATGTCCGATTTGGTTTCAGCTAGTTTTCAGCCATTCTAGAGTTCACAGACCTCTTTTGTATACTTACAATGATACAGCAGACAGTGTTTGACTTAGCAAAAAAAATATTTTTTTAAAAAGCTTCGATAGGGACTCGAACCTGGGACCTCAAAGTTAACGGGCAAGTGCGCGAACCACTGGACTATCGAGACCTGGGGTTAGTGAGGGTTAACCCTAGAGTTAAGGCTGGGCTAACCCTAGTTTTGAAAAACCAATTAGGGTTAGCTCAGGAAAGGGTTAAAGCTTGTTCCCAGCTATGGTTTCCGCATATTAAAAGAAAGAGTACTTCATTGCGCATCTTCTCAACACAAAATGGTCTGGAAAAAAGCATAACACAGGGGTTTAAATGGGCCCGAAACAAGTTATACCCCAGTGGTTCCGAAGGGGTTAATGTGTCCGATTTGGTTTCAGCTAGTTTTCAGCCATTCTAGAGTTCACAGACCTCTTTTGTATACTTACAATGATACAGCAGACGGTGTTCGACTTAGCAAAAAATTTTTTTTTAAAAAAAGCTTCGATAGGGACTCGAACCTGGGACCTCAAAGTTGCCGGGCAAGTGCGCGAACCACCGGGCTATCGAGACCTGGGGTTAGCGAGGGTTAACCCTAGGGTTAAGGCTGGGTTAACCCTAGTTTTGAAAAACCAATTAGGGTTAGCTCAGGAAAGGGTTAAAGCTTGTTCCCAGCTATGGTTTCCGCATATGAAATGAAAGAGCATTTCGTTGCGCATCTTCTCAACACAAAATGGTCCGGAAAAAAGCATAACACAGGGGTTTAAATGGGTCCGAAACAAGTTATACCCCAGTGGTTCCGAAGGGGTTAATGTGTCCTATTTGGTTTCAGCTAGTTTTTTGTAGAGTTCACTTACATATACTTACAATGATACAGGGACTCGAACCTGGGACCTCAAAGTTGCCGGGGAAGTGCGCTTTTTTTTTTATCTTTGGAAGATTTATTAACATAATTATAGTGATGTACACAATACAGTATTTATAGCAATTAAATACATTGAAATATACTTTTAAAAGATATTACATATTATTATATGTAGATTATTAAATGAAATATTATGTACAAATTTAAAAACTTGTATTTGTACAATGAAAGATAAAAAAAAAAAATAAAAGTAGTTATATTACGAAATGTATCTAAATACCAGAGCTTTAGATTTCGAAACCGAAATCAATCTAAAGTTTAGGTGAAGATACTTTCAAAACAAAATCTTTAACATGAAAATATGTAGTGCTCAGATAGAGCATTTTAACTTAGACATGTATATATATATATCTATAAATGTAATTAAAAATCTGAACTAATCGAACCATCTATTTCCAGTGGGATTAGACATGATGGTAACACAAAGTCTTTTATAAAATTTCTTTTTGTTTTTCCATAGAAATACTTAATGAAATTTAAACTTTGGCGTAACTTGTATTTATATAATTTTATCCACATTGGATCTGGGATTGTTTGTTACAATATGCCTTCTATGAAAAATTGTCTTACGGGCTACACTTAGAATTATGTTACATAGTCTAAATGGTTGACCCTTAATTCTTGTCTGTAAGCCTAGACAAATATATAATTGTAATTCATCGTCTGTTACAGTTCTAGATAGAATATCCGACAACAAAAGTTTCAAAAGATAAAGGAGGAGGGAGAGATCTAGACAGGAAAATAACAAATGATTTAGATCCTCTGATTCCTCATTACATATCTGACAGATATCATCATTAATTTTACCAATCATTAATAGTTTAGATCTTGTCCATATAATATTATGCAGGATTTTATAATCGAGGTCAATTTGTTTAGCATCTTTAAGAGATTCATGTGTATTTTTGCAGACTATTGGCCAATTAACACTCTTAAGAATAGTATTCCACTTTAAAAAACCAGTCGGTTCTGTGCACTTATTCTTAATCAGTATACCATGTAAGGTCTTAGATGTGAAATTGTCAAATTGAGTTCCTCACGATTGATTATACAGCAGGGCTCTGGAGCAGATTTGGCAGTATACTCTTCCGTTTCAATAATATGTAACCAATCATGAGGGATAGCAGATTTGATCATTTCCAGCATTTTTACAATATAATCGAGTGTACATTCCGATTCTATAAAATCGTCTACTATAACACCTATAGGTAAAAAGCCTGGGATAACATAATAAATAATGTCATAGTTTGTATTAATTCCATATTTACTAAAATATTTACACTTTGACTTCATGTCTTTTTAATGGATTATCAAACAAGGGCTGTAGTGATACATCATACATATTATCTGAGGGAGATCGGCTACCGTTCGATAACAAGTCCCAAGAATTGAACATAAGCTGGTAGAAGGGAGGGAACTCTTTTATAATGTTCTTACTAGCAATCGCTTTAAGTAGGTCTGTAGCTTTGATCGTAGCATGCTTTAGTGTAAAATAGTTCAATATTGACTTCCATATTGAATGAAACGACGAATCACAAACTTTCCTCAATATTTTCAAACCAAATTCACAGGATTTCATTTTGATGTCTGGTAATCATAAACCACTCCAGGTAAGTGCGCAGACCACTGGGTAGCCAAGACCAGACCACTGAAAGAGCACTTCGTTGCGCATCTTCTCAACACAAAATGGTCCGGATAAAAGAATAACACAGGGGTTTAAATGAGACCGTTACCAAAGTGGGCCCAAAGGGGTTAATAAAAGTGGACTATTTGGTTTTAGCTCTGGTCAGCTATCACAGACCACTTTGGTATACTCAAAATGGTAGAAGAGACGCTGTTAGACCCGGGAACCCAAAGTTGCCAGGCAAGTGCGCAGCCCACTGTACCACAATGATACAGCAGACAGTGTTTGATTGAGAATTTTTTTTTTAAAAAGCTTCGATAGGGACTCGAACCTGGAACCAAAAAGTTGCCGGGCAATAGAGTTTGAGAATAAATTTTATTAACATTTTATAAATATCATAGTTCTAGACCTATCATAAAAAATGAATAAAATAAGTAAGTGCAATGAAAGTGCTCATTAACGTTATATTTTTACAGAATACATGACATGTAATTTTTGTGATATAATATATACCACAGTCTCTTCTCTCTCTTTCTAACAAAAAGTACATATTAATAAACTATATTAGAAATATTAAAATCATGCTCAAAATTAAAAATATATGGCTCTATAATTGAGCACTATATTAACAGTCTTGATATTTTATTATTAAATAAATAAATTAAAATGCATGAAATAATAACAAAGCCTCAATAAAAATCACTTAAAGCAAACCACACTCTTTGTACATTCTCATTGGTTTTTCAAAATGTGGCATCAGAATATGCCTGAATATCTCAGATATTCCATTTACTTCTGGAATTACCAGTAGACAGAACTTGATTACAGCTACCCGGATTACTTTCAGAATCAAAGTGTTTGATAAATTTCCAGAATGTTATCACCACTCTAATACCGATATTATGTTGTCATTCATTGGATTATAATGTGTTGTCCAAATTAAGTTCTAATTGACGGATTGTAAGGTAAATACATTCTTTTATATTTACATAGCAGAACAAGTTTTCTCAGGAGCAAGCCTAATTTCGTCATTTCCACGAAATGATCGTTTTCGGAGCTTGGGACTAGATTTTGTTGAAGACGTGGATGAAACAATGCTTTCACCATCCGTATCAACAAGCGTCAAATTGTTCTGCTGTTTGGAGAGAGACTCAGACTCTGCGCTTTTACTCTTAGAATTTTCCCTTCCATGATGATGGGGGCTTTCTAACGGATGGACTACATTCTTAGTTATCAGACGAGATTTTCTATAGAGGCACAAACAGGACGTATCGTCCACTAAAACTTCATCTTTTGTGTTTCTCTTGGCCTTTGGACGATCTGACGCTATCTTGTTGTGGACTGACGCCTTCAACTCTTCTAAATTATAACCTGGTGGTAAACACATGTGTTCTGAGACGTCTGCTCCTAAAAGTTCATCCTCGACATCTACTCGGAGACCAATAACGAAATCCAGCAGTTTAAGATTGATATATGAGATAATAGCTGACCAGCCTATGATTGAAGCAATTGCTAAGCACTGAATTCCCAACAGCTCAAACCCACCGCCCTGAAAGAGATCAATCAAAAATATCAATATTGATATCAGAAAACAATACCTAGTAAAAAGTCCTGAAGCTTCATATGTTTTCTGGACAGACTTTGTTCCCGACAACGCAGGAATGATGCATTGTAGAGCCATTAATGATGAACTATTCTGGGCACCACTGAAAAGTTTCTTTACCCCAAAAATAACTTACCAGAAATAAACCCGTGTAAGCTGAGAACATTTGAATATTGTCAAATCTGGCAAATAGACCACAACATAGAAGTCCCCAGATGGAACAGAAGAAGTGAACTGATGTAGCACCGACTGGATCGTCAATTTTCAATTTGACGAGGAGAGCCTCCCCACTGGCTTCCACGATAGCCCCTATTGATCCAATTATGATTGCTGACCAACAGTAAGTTACAGCACAAATACCTAAAATAGATTCCACATGGAGTATTAAAAGGAATCGCGGTCAAACAAGCTCGATCATTTGCTTCACTTACTGTAGATGAGGTTCTTAATTCATTGAGAATCTGACAATGCTATTGAAGCAGATACTCTCAATTAACAATTAATTGAAACTTTCAGGTTACCATTGCGCTGGCCCTACACATTTCATCATTGTGCCAAAACGTTGCTCTCATTCTTAAACATAATTTTGTAACACCTTCTTATCTGATTTTTATTTGGAATGGGTGTAGCCATGATATGTTCTATTTATCATACCTGTGATAGACACCAGAGATCCCAAAATTCCATTTGTTATGATCCTAACATTAACTTTCTTGTTATGGAACAAATAGCTGAAATATATCATCAAAGAACATTGATCCAGTAAACAGCAACAGGTAAAACAGGAGTTCAGGTTAAAAATTTATGTCCATATCGCCATGTCCGAACTGCTTCAATCAGGCCAAAAGAGGCATATGGTCTAGACACACCGGAATTAGATACTGGCGGGTCCAATGATGTCTCCATCTATTTCATTGGTAAAGAAACATTTCTTTCAAGCATGCAACTATCAACAGAGAAACATGGAATTATCTCTCACCTGATAATGAATGATGTTATTCCTCCACCACATGATGCCATGATTGTTGTTGCTGCTGCCCTGTTCAATAGAGTCAAAAAGGTTAAACCAAGCTGCAGTGCTGTATAGAGTTATAACATAAACAACCAGTTTCGTGACATGGAAGGAAATCTTGCAGTACAACGCCAATAATTTGCCTACTTTTTCTAGATTTTCAGTTATCGAGGATCTTTGATATGCTTATAGTCTGTAGCATACGGACAGTAGCCTGGTAAAAGCATATGATTTCATCGAAAGAAGAACACTAAATGGGAAAGAAAAAATGCTCACAAATGTATGGCTAGCTAAATTTATCTTTGTATGAAAGTTGATTTCAGGATGATTTGGAAATATTCCTATATATATATAGAACATTTAGGTTATTTATAGCGATATAACTTACTTAGCTGCCAATTTCCATTTGCCACCAGAAATACCAAATGTACTACCACAGTTAAATCCTAACCATCCCCACCTTAAATAAAGAAAATTATGAAGAAATAGAAAGAACCCATGCAAATGAAAATTGTGTTACTCCGTTATCTTTTTGAGTCTCTTACGACCATTGGGTACATGGTACTTACCACAGAATGAACAAGCCAAGAAGGCTGTTGACTGGACTGGAACTCTTTAATTGCTGCTTGGAATCAAAACGACCATAACGTGGTTTCAACATGACAGCTGCAATGAGAGCTGTAACTCCTCCAACAAGATGAACAGGACCAACACCGGCTACATCCACGACATGTAGCTGTTTCAACCAGCCATTATCTGCCCATACCCAATGTGCTGGGAAAGAATACACCAATGTGTTTGTGAGACAGAATATGATGTAAGCATGTAGTTTGGTTCTCTCTGCCATTGCGCCTGAAGTGGAAAAGAACAGAGGATGGGAGATAACCGCGATCGCTCTTTTCAGAGCTGCGAAGGTCCAAGAACTTGCTAATATGAAGGTTTGGGATTCGATTCCTAATATGGATATAAAAAATACAACCCAGCTTGATCATCTCAGCGATTTCGTAATGAAATGTTTTGAGTAATATCTTTAGCAGTAAAGGGACGATTTTGGGTGAAATGTAAAGCTTTGCTTTCTAGGTTAATGTTGGAAGGGGTCCATAAGGATTTCTGCCAAATATATGCTATATGTGGATTGTATTTGGAGTTCAGTTCTTTGTCATATTGTTATTATTAAACATGCAAAATGTATCACAAACCAGAAACAATTGTGGTAGCCGTCGTTGCGAATGATGCTTGAAATGTAAACTTTGAAAATTCTGTTCCCATTGTATCGTCATCTGAAAAATAAATTACCGTATGGTTTCTTCTAAAAAGTTAAATCATCTTTATGTTAATCCAACATAACGTTTTGTATATTGCACGAGCATGGACACACGATTGATTTTCGAATTTTAGGGCCCAAATGTAGCGACAGAAATTCTGACCGTGCTGCAATGTAAATGTCCTTAACATAAGTAGTTCAGATCACCCGTATTCGACTGTTAACCATGTAAAGTAAAGGTCACCTGGGTCTAGAAAGAAGCTGCCCCACCCGGTGAACCCATTACTGCCTTTACTGGTACCGAAACTTATACCATAACCAAATGCCCAATACAATAAACCACCGAATATAACATCTATAGCGTTCTTCATCATAATGTTTACTTCATTTCTTCTGGTAGCCATACCACTTTCTAGAAGCCCAAAACCTACAATAATGTTAAGAGATTGGGATTATATAAGCGTTGATATTTTCACATATCTTCTTATTAGAAGTATTCAAAATGTAAAAGTTGGTTTTTGAAAAGAGAAATAAAAGTATCCTCTATCTACAAGGTGAGCTTTGGCCAAACCTTGGCTTGGTCGACTACAATAATGAAGCAGCGAGTCGAAGAGGATAGCAGTAATCAGCGAATCGAATAGGATAGCAGTAATCAGCGAATCGAATAGGATAGCAGTAATCAGCGAATCGAATAGGATAGCAGTAATCAGCGAGTCGAAGAGGATAGCAGTAATCAGCGAATCGAAGAGGATAGCAGTAATCAGCGAATCGAATAGGATAGCAGTAATCAGCGAATCGAATAGGATAGCAGTAATCTCATTTCTCTGAAGAGTCAAGTGGGCCTGTTTAGAAAACAATGTGTGTAATCGAAAGGATTAAAAATAAATTGAGAACCCAACGGGGTAGGGATAAGACGTGCACCCACAAGTCCTGACATTCACCTCGAAACCATACCCAACTACATTTTTGTCGAATGCCTTACCTGATTGCATAGTAAATATGATAAAGGCACTGGTGAGGATCCAAGTAGCATCATCCCATGGAGAGTGTGGTGAGTTTGTCGTTGTGGGAATGTAGGTCGTGGTCTCTGTTGAATTCATTTTGAACTGATTATCAAATCTGTAAAAGAAATATTCCAAGATTTTATCATTTAATACTGTTAACTGCTTATACTTTTACCTCACAATGTCAAGCTAATATTACGAACTTCATCTTATACCCCAACTGCAATAGCCACCTTTCTTCTATTATGAAGTGCAGCGATTTGATTACAAACTCCCGATACAAGAAAGGTAGTTAATGATATCAAGGTATCATAAGTGTACACATCTTTGACATTGTGAAGATGATACCTATTCTGATTACAAAGGTCATTTTTTCCTACTAATAGCATTGCCTGTTCATCTGCAGCGTCTTTTGTAGTTGAAGTGCATATTTTGGACATTTGGTTTCACTGCACGATAATTTGCTATTGTTAAACTGATTACTGATTCATTGCTGATGGCGATTATTTTCTTTATGAATTCTTCTTCGAAGTAGAAGGTTCTATTATGACGTCTATAGTAAATAAGTAAACTAACGATCCGAAATCTTACCTCTTACGATCTATAAACAAAATAATATAATGTATTCCCTTAGGACTGGCATTTAGTGCATCATCTTATTCTCTTGTCATGCTGTGTCAATTGGTTCAAAATGTCTAAAATCAATAATATCTCAAATGAAAAAATAAGATATCTTAAAGGATGTTTGTCTGAAAACGTAATTATAAACAAACTCGTGCACATTAAAGTTGCTAATACATCAAAGAACACATTTCAGAGTTTACGGAACTATATTATTATCTAAATTGGTACTTGATGATTTAACCTAACGTTAGCTATCAGTCAGTGTCAGCTGATTGTGAAATTCTGTAAGTTAAGCACTTAATAGAAAATCTAGCCATTGCCGATTGGATGAAAGTGTAGGTTAGATACTTTTCTATAATTTACTGTGAATATTGGGGCTTTCAAGGTGTCATGTTTAGCAGACCGTATCCAGACTGTTCGTAGCTCCGAGACGGGTATTTAGAGATTTCAGGTTCCGTTTTGTAAATGACATGCTTGACCGGTTCGGAAAAGCAAAGTTATCTTTTGAATATCAAATAGTAAAATTAAAAAAAGTACAGTTCTTGCAAGAACATTTCTCAACTGTTCCTTTTTTTAGGATTCTGAAAGCAGTGGAGTATTTAGGGTGTGGGCCATTCAGCACCTCCTTCCTCGGACCTGTGAAGATCTTATTTTGAAATGAAAATCAAGCCCTTTAAATGCTCAATACCTCTTCGGGCCGCGCCTCGGAGAGACAGCTGTCATTTTTAGCAGCTGCTCAAAGCATTTTGGAATTTTCTATGTACGACTGATTTAAAAAAAACTGACTAAAACTGATATTTTTCAGCCATTTTCATTATTTCCTTGACCAGACAATGGAGTAAAGGTTCCTTTAACTGCTGTTTATCTAGAAACAACATAACAATAGTTCTTATCGTTAAGCCTTGTTATTTAACTGTATTGTTTGAAATATAAATTAACGTTTGTGGGCATCAAACATCGAGAATTTCCTAACAAATATTATAGTAAATTAAATAAATTGGGTACTACAATTTGTTTAAAAATTAAAAGTATAGAAATTTTTTTGCCATCACAATTATTATTTTGCAATCTCTTTTGGAATCAAATACTGCGTATTACACCTTGTGACTTAATGACGTAATGTTTGTCAAAGATTTCAACATAATTATTTCAGCACAGATGAAGTTGTCAATGTTTTGCCACTGTTTTTCTTTCTGAATGGACTAAAAAAAACTCACAAGACCAAAAACACATCGCCTTTTTCGATCTAAAAAGCTTGTCCTCACCTGTTGTTCCTAAAACCAACGTCCTTAGTCATAAACATAATTCTTTTTAAAACGTTTGATGGAAACGGATTACTCACCCGAACTCCTAGCCAACTACAATATGCTTAGAGCGAATTTCAAGATATTCTGCCAGACAGTTGAAATTTCAACTCGACGCTCTGATGACTCTTTTCTCATTTGAGATTCAAAGACTTGGTGAATTTTTTATGAGTTCGTCTTACGCTATAGAACATGCTCAACAGCCATAACATACAGAATCATTCTTAAATATTGGATGCTCCAGAGGTTTGTTTTGACACGTATCTTGGGAATAATACAGAATCAATAATATTTACAAAGATGATGTTTATATTTCTTAATAATTATTGATTTCATCATTACAACTTCTCGTAATCAAAAGAGCAACCATCTTTTAGTTTTTTCGTCGATCATACAGGGAAACTTATCTGAAATCTGCAGAGTCAGTGTATTTTCGACGGCTTTTGCCATCTCAATCCAAAATGTTAACACATTTCAGTAGCCTATAATACCAATCAGAAGAGTGTTAGAAGGCAATCACATAATTGCACCAAACGGAAGTAAATATCCCTCGGTTCAATAATGACGTTCTCTATTATTATGATTGTCATGAAATAATTCTCATGATAATTAATAAAAAATAAATAATCCCGAGCCTACTTTCGCGCCACAATTTACTTCCGGTTGGAATTTTATACACCCCCTCCATTATTCGACCAAATCATAAGCGATAGATAGATTGAAACCATTGAATTCAGGGGGATAGTCTGTGATATTCAACCTTCAACCATACCTTCCTTATTGGATTTCAGATGTGTGGTTGAAATTAAATCTCAATTCAGTTATACGGGGCAGTTTTAGTCTGATTTAGTACTCGTGATTCTAGAAAACTATAGATAACATTCAAGATCCCTTGAACAATTCTAATTGTACTTAATTTTAAGTAGATTCAGAAGACTGGAAAATTTAAGATTGATAAGTTACTGTTATCTATTGCTACTTGATAAGATATATTGCAAAATTGTTTTGTAATGGTTGCTTCCCTTGGAGTGCTTTAACATAGGTCGCTTTCGTCCTAAGGCTAACCTTAAGTCATTACATTTAATAATAATCATTACAAATCCTAGAAATCTTTAAACAGACTCAGGATATGGTTAACTCTTTGGGGGAAAGGGAACGTTTCATATTATTTTTTCCATTACATGTAATGAATATATCTTTTCAATTGGAAATTGGCGCATACTACCGTCTACCATGTCTGTCTGTTAGTTGGCCACCTGTGGACATCGGCGAATGAGATATTACAGATTGTACAATTGGGCATGTAAATGTAGAATGATTACATCTTGAATGGACAATGTTTGAAATTAAAGGTAAAGGGAAAGACGCGGCAATAAGGGGGAGGGGGGGGGGTGATTTGTGTCTTGAATACACGAAAATAGTCTTCATAAGTACTAATAGAAATGTACTCATAATTCATTTAAAAATATCCCAAACAAGGAATTTCTTTTTTTATTTCCATAGATGTCTTTTCGACATATGGCAGTGTCTCATGGAAAGACGACTAGTTTTTTGTAACTTTCAAACGTGGATTAATCTGAACACACGTGGATTTGAAGGCTCAAATTCGACTGAGCTGTGAACACCATTACTGCTTGACTTGATTACAAAAAATTCCCGTTTCTGGTGTAGGCCTATGATTGGTCAAAACAATGGCGCCTCTGTCCCTTTAATGATATTAGTATCAATAGTTTTACCTTTGAATGGATTTGTCGTTATCGATCAGTGTTACTGATAGTTTTTCATCTGGTATTATTGGATCTCAATCTGATTATATCATTTTATCTAAATATTTTGTCATTTATTTTATGCAGAGTGTCTATTTGTTTTGCGCAACTTAAACTAGTATTTGTGTTTGACTTTATAATGGTTCAATATTTTTAATTGAAACAATTTGGCATTTGTTTAGTTAAATTCATGCATTAGTATTCCAACACAAATCAAAAACATAGCATCTTTACGTTATGTTTACGTAAACTTTTAAAATAGTTTTGAAATTCTTAAAATTTACGACAAGCTATTTTAGCTAAAGGCCATGGTTTGCGATTTTTGGGGGTGATTTGGGTCGTGAATATCATAATAGTTTTTAAAAGTACTTCAAACTAGAAATAGAACTTACTATTTATATATAATCCCTAATGAGCCAACGACTTATTATTCATACACTCTACATCCTCAAATAGCTCGCATGTAACATAAAATTAACGTTTTCATAAAACCATCAACACCTTTCATTGTTAATTCCACTGCTTTACTTTATTGCACTGTAATCCTATATTACGCATCTCTTTAAATTCAAATACCTTCCATTAAAAACCTGTCAACAGCTTTCAGTGCAATTACCATGTGTCACGAGGAAATAGAGAGAAGAATAGGAAATTTTAGCTTTCAATATGTCAATTGCATTTAATATACTCAGGAAATAGAGAAATCAAACGTGAAATAGATTACTACTGACCTGCACTGTATTCTCAGTAACATTATATGAATAATATCGATTTTGAATCATTGTATAAAGTACTTAGTTCACAATTTTATCTTGATCTTCGTGTAACGATTTTGAAAAAATATTTCGTAATTTGAATGATTGGCTGTGATTCAATACATATAATATTGATTGTTACTAAATGTTTCTAATCACGATCCTCAACAGACAACTGCGAACATTATGGATGAGGGCAATTTTACTTACCATGGGAGCAGAAATTTGAAAATAAGAAGCCACGACGATGCCACCTGGATTTTGACAAGCGCTTTCATCATTTTTACCATGCAATCAGGTCAGTTATTTTTTCGCTGTACTTTGTGAAAGAAAGGTTTCTTTCTATTCAGAAGTTACCTTGTTCTATTTTTCTGAAAATATTTGTCGTGAGGTTTCTTCTGGTTCCGTTTTGATTATGAAAATTATATGAAGATTAATGTTTATAATACCTATTTTGTATTCATGGTCTCCGTCTTTGTTTTTGCGGTCGGACCTTTTGAGTTACTGCCCTTTATCCAAGACGCGTATTAAGTTTGACCAAACACCATAGATTTGATTCGCTTTTCATGTTGTATTTCTATGATTTCAAGAGTAATTGAAATTTGTTGTTTTTGTTTGAAATTTCAACATTATTGCTCTTGACTTCTTTTGAATACGTACAATATTGACCTTTAGTGACCTACGGACGATAGCTGTTAGCCTACAATTTTAATCAACTCTAAACCGCATGTCTGATATGCAGAGCCTGTACATTTCTGGACCACCAGCTGATACATTTCTAAAATTATTATAAATGATAAAATCAATTCCTTTACAACTATAAATGCCAATCTAATCATTTGCAAATTTTTTGTCAATATTGTGAAGCTTTTTTTACACAATAATTAAACAGTGAAAAGTGAACAGCACTACAGAAGAAAAGTGATCGTATTAATATGAATATTTCATTGCCAGACTAAGATCTGTTTAAATATTTGAACATTCGATAACATTATTATTCTTCAAGATATGTTTTTACAGACTGCGCTGATATTAAGGCTTCAAATGTTAAGCGGATTGCTCAGTAATAAAGGGTATATTTGTACCTTCCCTTGACAGTAATCTCAGAAGCGTTACACCACTCTGAAACATATCAGGGTATTTAATGGCTGCCACCTTTACCGTTACGATATAGGCCTACAGATTGTGACATGATTACATTTTCAAATATGCAATTGTTAAAAATCACAATGTATTCGGTTAACATCAAACCATAAAATGAGAATCAGTATTTCTTCTCAATGGCTTTTACCTATGGACTTTATTTTCATCGCAAGGTTACAATCACGTGACAAAGTAAAGAGGTTGCACCAGAAGACAAAATAATTTGTTAATTCAATACCGAGGTAGATCCAGCTTTAAAGAATCGGATAAAATTCCAGTCAATGACAAAATTATTGTTCGAAAAGAATGATTGTACGAAATGAAAAGTCATTTTCATGGGAAATTCTGGAAGGGAAACAATTGATTTTCGAGACTCAAAATGGAATCGCTGCATGACATCAAGAACAACTGAATATATACAATGGGTATAGCATAAAAATATAATCGAAGTTTACATACTACTTACTGCTGATAGGAAAACACTAAATGCCAAGAACAAGGCGATATGGCTTTGTTTTTGAGCTAAAACGCCCATATATGAGTTGTTATTGTTCAAACATTTTACATACTACAAAAACAAACATCAAAGTAATGGTCTGGAACTAACTGCTGTATAATGAATAAGACAATGGGTAATGAGGTGGATTAATTCGAAATTTTGTGACTAATGAAATGTTTAGTCATTATCGTTCTTCTTAATTAGAAGTTGATGAAATGGTAATTAGTAAGAAGTGAAGTCATCTGGATGGCTCTTGTTGTTAAAAAATTTCCAAAAATATCTAAACCCCTCAATGAATCCTTTAATAAACAGGCCCTTTGCCTGTAATGCCTCCTTGTTTAAATTCACATATTGTAATGCCACATAGTTGTAGCTCACATACTGTAATGCCTCATTATTTTAGCTCACAAACTGTAACGCCACAGAATTGAAATTCACATACCGTAATGCTTCATAGTTTTATCCCACATATTGTAATGCCACATAATTTAAATTAACATACCGTAATGCCTCATAGTGTAAGTCCGCATACTGTAATGCCTCATAATTTAAATTCACATACCGTAATGCCTCATAGTTTTAGCTCACATACTGTAATGCTCATAGTTTAAATTCACATACCGTAATGCCTCATAGTTTTAGCTCACATACTGTACTGCCTCATAATTTAAATTCACATACTGTAATGCCTCATAGTTTTAGCACACATACTGTAATGCCACATACTTTAAATTCACATATTGTAATGCCTCAAAATTTAAATTCACATCCTGTAATGCCACATAGTTTTAGTACACATATTGTAATGCCACATACTTTAAATTCACCAACTGTAATGCCTCATAATTTAAATTCACATACTGTAATGCCTCACAGTTTTAGCTCACATACTGTAATGCCACATAGTTTAAGTCCAATTAAGTCCTAATTTAAATTCACATACCGTAATGGCATAAGTCTGCATACTGTAATTCACACACTTTATTGCTGCATTTCTCAAAGTATATTTTCTGTCGTCGTTTAATTTCACATACTTTACTGCCTCATTGCCTTATTCCAATTAGAGTGATGCCTCATTGTTAAATTTCACATACTATACTGCCTCATTGCCTAATTCCAATTAGAGTGATGCCTCATTGTTAAATTTCACATACTATACTGCCTCATTGCCTAATTCCAATTACAGTGATGCCTCATTGTTAACCTTCACATACTATAATACCTCATTGCATAATAATTTTCACTTTTGCTTATAGTTAGATAGATTGAGATAAAATCCTGATCTGGAATAAAACTTGCTTTGAATATACAGAAATACGGGCGAAGTTGCCAAATTTATTCCAAAAAATACTGTTTTCGCGGCATTTGACGTATGATAAAATATGAAGTTTATTTCTGGCTTAAAATATAAATAGACATTTAATGGAATAAATGGATAATTTAATAGCAGAATGCTTGGGGAGGTTCGACGTTGATTAAAAATGTTGCTGGTTCAATGTGACATTGTAATGTAGTTGACGGGCAACACAAGTTATAAATAACACTCTACAAAACTGTTTCCTCTTCCTCTAATAGAACAAACAATTCTTTTACGAATACGGTATTACTCTGAGGTCCGCGCTATTAATAGGCGAGTTATTAAGTCTAAAATATATGATGTATGTGTTTCTAAGAAACTTCAGGTTAGGGGGCAGAGAAGGGGCCACACAATTTCCAAGGGGGTTCACAGGTCATTCTTTCACTATGTAAAAAATTTGAAAGTGGGGGGGTGAAGTGACCTTCACCATCCCTAAGATATAATACGAACATGATGCTTATTGTCAATTTAGACTATAAACCATGAGAATTTATCCTGATTTATTTATCAATCAAATAAAATACCAAGGCTTATTGCAATATTCGTAGATAAAGTGCTTCTTTCAAGCTGACATTATGCCATTAGCATTTCCCATGTCCACACGGCTCATTTAACTCGTTTAATTAATTAAATCCCATTAACGAATCTGGGGGCTTTCAGGATTGTAAACATGTTATGAGTTGGAGATATCAGAGTTGTCTGTAATTAAATACTTGAGATCAGTGTCCAGCACCCTCAGCACCTTTTTCAACTCACAGCCCCGAAAGCAAGTTTTTCGGGCAAAAATTTCATAACTAGGTAAGAAATTCGGGCAATCTCAGATATTTCGCACCCCCTCAGACGTAAACCAGGTTTCGCCACTGACAATGCCGTTTAAATATTTAGATAGAGGTATATAACTTTGTTTTAACATTATATAGCATATCATATACCGTTAAAATAACATTTAAAAAAACTCTATACCTCTGTGTATTTTTTACCCTCTTTCTCCGTTTATCTATCCAACGAAACCAACATCAAAATTTTAAAAGATAACATGGAAGTATGTAATGAGTTAACGAATGTTATGTCTCTCATTAAGCAACATCAAGATCAACATTTTAGCCAAATTGAAAAATTTACGAATACTTTAAGCAAATCTTTAAAATGGGTTTGAACTGAACATTTTAATCGCAATTATAGCATTCAACTCTCCCAAGATAATCAAAACAAGATAGAATATCTCTTGTTTTCTTTAATCTTTAGAATTGTGAAAACAAAACAATGAAAATCTATTGGATTAAACATAACAGATATTTCTACTGTTGTGTTAACAAAAGAAATTGTAATAAAACATAATAATTTCCCCATGTTAAAGTTATGTAACGAATTTATTGATCCATATATATTCTATAGAAACATTTACAGATTCAAAAGATTCAAAAATATTTATTACATTAAAGATGGGTGCGCTTATTTTCATTTAAAAATGAAAATACTAATTCTTATATGAATAGAAAATAGAGGTCACACATGTCCATATTTAATTCATAATTAGCTAAATTATTAGAGAATTACAAGCAGAATTCCAATGAGTGACCGATCAAGAAAGGTCAAAAAGTATTTTTTGTTTATACATACATGAACATTTATGATTGGTTTAAACTCTTAATTATATGCAATAAGAACATAATGATATGATTAAGAATACATGATAATTCATTATAAACACCAATTAATGAAATAGTTTGCTTAAATCGACACTAAAAATAAGGAAACCCATCTTTAGATGTAACCTAAAACGCCATTGATGCGACGATTATCATTATCAAACGAAATGATATCAATTAATATTGTAGCAATATCAAAGAGTTTTGTTTTTTTTTTATTCTGGAATGGTTTATTAATGTGTTACATGTCTATACGAATAAAATGGATTTTAATATGATCACGGGAAATACGTGATAATGGAAATATTAATGAACTATAAAAAAAATTGAAAAAAAAAATAGAAAAAAAAATTGAAAAAAAAATTGAAAAAAAAATAGCAAAAAAAGACTTAAAGATGTGTGAATTTTGACTCATTTTAGCGAATGTTTTGTTACCTATTGGTGTCGTGATCTAGCGATAAGGATCTAGTCCAGTGCTTCTCAACCTTTATGATCCAATTCCACACATGAGAAAATATTTCTCCGCCATTCACCCCTAGCATTGTAAAACATTAAATAACTCAAAACTAAAACTGAAACATGCTATAGTAAGGTATTGTTTCAAACGTAAAGGTCACGGATTTACATAAAAAAAAACAATAGAGATGTCC